TCACTCAAGAGTTTTATAACCTTACCATAAGAGAAACCCATTACTTCTGTTCACAGAAACCAATGTCACTTACAATGAGCATAAATTAATATCATCAGTAAATACAAATGGAGAGACAATCATGTTTTGAACTATGGATGCTTTTATTGCCTTCCAATCTCTTTTGAATGTGTATGGATTCACACACACACACACACACACACACACACACACATATTTACCAGCATTTCCTTTTTCTGTCTCTGTGTTGGGGATCAGGTTTAGGACCTCATACATGCAATGCAAGGTCTACACTCCCTGCCATATCCTCAGATGCATCCTGGAATTGTTCTACAGAAGATTTCTAGAAAATTTTAAATTAATTCTGTATGAACGGCAACCCCCTCCCCACCCATTTTATCTTTCCTCCATGCCCTGGCACCTGCTGTCCCATTTCCTTTGTAGTCTGACTACTTTAGAGACAGTCCTGGGTGGAACCATGCAGTGTTTGCTTTGTATAAAATAATATCCTCATGGTTCACCTCTGTCCTGTCTTATGGCTTGAGTTCCTCCTTTAAGTTCTTTCATTTTATCACTCTGCCACATTTTATTTGTAGTTGATAGACATCTCCCCCACCCTTACCCCCATGACCCTAGCTTGGTTTCTGTGAAAAACATGTCCAGGAACATACCATGTATCAATATCATGTTAAGATCTTGTTTGTTTGTGTGTCTTTGGCACTTCTGATTCAAGGTATTACTATTTTAAACTTTTGGAGGGACCTCCATACTGTCCTCCATATAGAGTGCATCTTCTGACACCCTCACCATTGAAGCCACAAGGTGTCAGTATCTGTACATCTCACCAGCACTTTGTGTGTGTGTGTGTGTGTGTGTTTGTGTGTATGTGTGTGTGTGTGTGTGTGTTGTCAGTCGTGAGTGCTGAACTCTGGGCCTGGGCGCTGTCCCACAGCTCTTTAGCTCAAGTCTAGCACCCTACCACTTGAGCCACAGCACCATTTCCAGCTTTTCTCTGCTTATGTGGTGCTGAAGAATTGAACTCAGGGCCTCATGCATGCAAGGCAAGCACTCTACCACTGAGCCACCTTCCCAGCCCTCACATATATTGTTTAATAATAGCCATTCTGACAAGTGTAATGTGTCACTATGGTGTGGTCTAGGTCTGTATGATGATTAGTGAGTTGGGAATATTTATCTATTGGTCATCTTATGTTTTCTGTGGGGAAAAATAATCCATATTCAAACCCTTTACCCAGGTAAAATTTGGTTGTTCAGCGTGTGCTGTGTAATTTGTTTGTGAAGTTTTTCTGTTCTTTTTCTTTGTTCATTCTTGATTTCTAATTTTATTTAATTGTGTTCGAAAGGGTATTTGTTATGCTCTCTTTTTCCTTCAGTCTTTTTTCGTTGGTGCCTAATGCTTGGCCTGACTTGGAAAATGTTCTGTGTGACTTGAGAAGAGAGTTTTGACTGCCTTGAAGGGAAAAGAATGAAAGAGTCAGAGATTTTGGCCTCCTGAGGTCTGTGTGATTGGCACAGCCCTTGGACGAAAGCTTCAGAACTGGGTTTCTTCTGCAATTGCAGGTGTGAGGGCAGGGATTGAATGCAAAAGCCTATTAGTGATGTCTCTTCCAAACAAGTTGCTTCCCACTCTTGAGTCTATGCCTTTGGCATTTCCTATGTCTGGAATACTCACAGCTACTCACATGATACACTCCTTCAGGTCTCACCAGCCTCTACCAGATGCTTTCTTCTCAGAATGGCTTCTTTGGCTCCTGATGGTAGAATGGTAAAATGGTAGAATTCCCCCAGCTCAAATGACACCCTTGTTTGTTCTCATTGCATTTCGTTATCCCTTGTGTGGTTTTGTTTCTTTATTGCAGAGTGAGCTTCAGGAGGACAGCACCATTGGCTGCCACTGAAGTTTGACTCAGAATAAATGCTAAAACAATGAGTACACAAATAATAATCAGATCAATGAATGGATGCATGGATAAACAGGAAGGTTCTTGGACAGGAATTGTGCTTCTACAAATGCACATACATGATTACTTCCTTGAATACTGTGACATCTGGAAGACATATTGTTATACCTTGATGAAATTATTTTATTAGTAAATTAATACACAAAGGTATAGTCTCATTGCTTCAATGGAGAACTGAAGTATGGCATAGAGGTGAAATGCATGCCAAGTGTAGAATGTCTTTTGGAAGAGCTATCAAGAAACTGAAATTGAAGGTCAACTGAATGAACTATGCCACCCCTTATCCATAAAAAGCTCTTCAGGGTGATCCTAAAGGCCCAGGCAGACACCTCCAATGGTCAGGTTCACATCTGTGGTCTCATTTCAAATAACATTGATATTAAATGAGAATTTGAGACCTTATCAAAATACACATTTGCTTCCAAAATGATCCTTTTGGGGCAAATAGCTTCTTTGTACAAGAAATATTGGAACATCTATCTTGTTTGGGTTGTCTTATTTGTAGAATGAAGTGATGATGAAAATAAATACATTTTATGAAAGCTTTGTGTGATTTACAAAGATCTCTGTACATGTCTTGTTGGACATTAGACTGTGTACGAGAGAGAGAGAAACACACACACACAGACACAGAGAGACAGAGAGTCAGGGCGACAGAGAGATATAGAGAGACAGAGAAAGGAGATATTGCTCATCGAAGTGCCCAACTGTGTGCTAGGCATGCAGACAGTAGTGTTGGGAGTCTATCCTCTTCTGACCCATGCAACCTTGACCCGGCCTGCTCTATGAACACTTACTTCTTCCCCCGAGCTGAATGGAGGTGGTGTTGCTTCGCTTATTACCAAAGCCAATTTCCAAAATGGGTAATTGTGTTCTGACTCACACAATTCCCCTTGCATTTCCTGACTGCTCCGGGTGACTTATGTCTTCCTCTTTGCCCTTAATGGATATGTAATGAAGTGACATATTTCAAAGTCATGACTGTGTTTCAGGCTAGAGAGGATTTTCTAAATAATGTCTCAGTACAGGGCTGACATAAAGCTGGTGCGTATGTACTCTGCCTCTGTTCCTAAGAGAGTTACGTTGTAGAGGAAGGGGTCTTCCCCAGGGCGAGCTCATTTTCAGGGCCTAAATGTCCTCTGGGTAAGTAGAAGTTAGTATTCAAAGAAGGTAAGGACTCAGGATTTGAGCCAGTTTGCTTTGTTTGCATCTTATCACTAGTTTTTAGTTGTGAGCTTAGTTGTATGACTTTAACCTTTCTCAGCCTCAGTCTTCTCATCTGAAAAATGCTGATAATAATGACATCTATTGCCTCATGTTTTATGAAGAGCCAATGAGACAGTCAGTATGGAGACACTGATGACAGTCTGGAGTCCATGGTGGGGCCCAGCAATCCCTGGCTGTAGATATGATTTTTTTTTTTAAATTGGTGCAGTCCATCAGATGCATGTTGCTCATGACACATGCCAAATTAGGGAACTAAATACATGAATGGTAACAGTATAATAAGATAGATCTCCATGTAGCTCACATGGGAGAAGAGAGAAAGTACTCATTCATTTGCATTGAGGTTAGGGCAAATTTCCCAAGGTAAGTGTCCCAGAGCCTCAGAGGAAAGTTGGTGAGTGAATTTGGCCTATAGAGTTCACATGTATTTACTAGGTTTCCATTGTATAAGAGGCTCTGGGAAAGAATGCTGCTCCAAAATTATCCCATCCTTGTCCATGGAATTTTCTCTTCTGAGACAGGATGGGCACCAAACCAACAATTCATGTAATCGAGATTATGAGGGCAGGATACAGCTTGGTATGGTGTGGTATAGTCTCAGGGCTGGTTAGCTATTGGGGTGGGTTTCCAAAGCTATCTCTGTATGTAATGGAAACTTAAATTGATACTTGGAAGGTGAGTGAAGTAGGAAGAGAGCAGAGCAGGCCCCATGGTTGGAGAACCATGGTGCATTCCCCAACTGAATGAGGGAGAATGAATGAGACAGGATGCTGAAGACATGCTAGTGTGCTAGCAAGAGCAAGACCCCAAACACCTCTCAGGTCATTCAGACCTCAGGTCATTCAGTGCAAGCGTCTTATTTTGTGCATAGGTGTGCTAGAATCTGGCTTAGGTTTTCAATTGACTGAATTACTGAGAATTAAAAGTATGGAGACCCGTGAGATTTATCTTAGGTTTGGGGCACAGGAAAAAGCAAAAAAACCCACCAAAGTCAGCAGCTGCATGTGTTGAGCTCTGGGGGCCTTGGTGCATTTGGAGGAGGAGATGCAGAGTGCTGAGGCCCTGACCACGCTCGTGTGACCAGTGCCTAAGTAATTTGCTAAGAAATTTGAAGTATGGAGGTTGAGAAGCAGGGAGAAGATTTCCTTCTCTTCTCACGCATTTCTTGAGTCAGCATTGATTGAATTTAGGGTAATAGGTTGGAGAAGTTCCTCAATCTCACTGCAAGGATCGATGGATGGGAGGCACTTTCTTTTTTGCAACCACACAAAGGAGATGTACTAAGGGGTGGTTAAACTCATTAGTGGGAAAAGCTCATGCATCTTATACTTACATCATATATATATATAATATATATATATATACACTGAGTAGTTCAAATACGTGCACTGAGAATCTTAATGTGAGGCTTTTGCAGTTGCTGAGAAATGCCATAGCAGTGAAAGACATAGATTTTTGAACTACTGATAAGGTAGAATCTTTCAGACAATGAATAAAATTGTATTTTTTTCCTACCTCCGTGAAATGTCCCTGTAACCACATTAGAAAAGTTAATGAGGAAAGATAACTTGTCAACCTTCCCTTGCTACCCATTAAGGATAATGTTGAATTCCCTTAGATAATCCGCAGTTTTCAAATGCACAGATGCATCCTGTGAAGTTGTGTTCGTCTGGGGCACGCTCACTGCTTTTTGTGCTCAGCTTTGGTGTTGTAGCTCAGAAGTTTCCACGCACCATGAGTGACTACCCTTTCAACTGCTCATTTTTTGTTTTTTGGTTTTTTTTTGTTCAGGTGACAGAACTCAACAATGTGAAGAATGTAGCTCGATTGCCAAAGAGCACCAAGAAACACGCCATAGGAATTTACTTCAATGACGACACCTCCAAGACCTTTGCTTGTGAATCAGGTTTGTCCGAGGCTGGGGCCTTTGCCTATTGGCCTTTGATGGGGTGCACGGCACACAGGTTCATCTTTTGGCCCTTTCCACAGATCTGGAGGCGGACGAATGGTGCAAAGTCCTCCAGATGGAGTGCGTGGGCACACGGATCAATGACATCAGCCTTGGAGAGCCCGATTTGCTGGCTACCGGGGTGGAGAGAGAGCAGAGTGGTGTGTACAGAAAACCTTGCCTTTCCTCTCGTACAAACAGATTTTCCCCTTTGTAATAAGCCACACAGTGTTCCCGTTATGTTAAAATGTCTATTAGTATGAAAGTGTCTGAGCTAGTGATATCAGTGGAAAGTTCTGGGGAGCCTCTGACATGCTAGGGCAGCTAAAGATTCTTCACTTTTCCCAGTGGCCCTGCATCAAGCCTTATGGTTTCTCCCACTGTGCAGATGAGGAAACCAAAGCTTCACAAAGCTAAAATGCTTGACTTCAACTCTGTAGCAAAGTAGTGTCTGATTCCCATCTTTACATAGATTTGAAAGCAATAGGTTTTTTTGCCTTGTGTTTTTTCACTTAAAATGTTATTGACTGCTTTCCAATGCTTTTAATAGTATTTACATGAATATTTCATCAAGGTAACTACTTAAAAAAATCTTCTTAACTGAACACTTGGTCCAATTTGGCTCAACAACAGTCTAGGAATAAATCACTTTAAATAATAACAACTGAAATATTCATGATCATTTTAGCAAAAATCAATACTGGTTTTCAGCCCAAGCTTGGAATAACTTCTCCGAGTACTCATGCTTTGTAATGGGGCTGAACAGATCTCAGAACACTGCGTTAGTGATTGGCTTGATCTATGAGAACAGATCAGAGCAGAAGGGGCTCCGGGCTCCTGGATTGATGACAGACACAGCAGAGGTGGAATTGTACTGACCTTCTGCGTGGGCATGCACTCCAATCGTTAGTGACAGAATGCTCTTGCTCTCAACCGGAACTGTCTTCAAGACACATTTATGCTCGGTTACTTTCTTAGAGGCATCGTATCTACTGCCATCAATCCCCACCCAGCTGTCACTAACCAAGACCCAGAAATGTGGGCTAATAATTCAGAAGAGCTTCTTTGTAGGTTGGGAAATGGAACTACAGAGAGAGTAAGCCCTTCTTGGGGTCATTCACTCCATCGCCAGACTCTTCTTTGATCATTTATTAAGAGCAGAAGAAGGCTGGAAGAAGGGATGCCCCAGAGCCTTGCAGGCATGCAGATGGAAATGGGACCAGATTTGATTATTGTTTTGTAGAGTACTCAGATAGTTTCAAGGGGCTACAACTAAATTTAAGTATTGGCTGTGCCCGAGGCACTTTCCCCGAAGTTTTCTGTGCCTAGGTTGTTTCTTCTGCAAATGAAAGTAGAAATATCTCTGGTATAGAATTACTAGGGATTACGCTGGGCACTGGTGGCTCACGCTTGAAATCCCAGCTACTCAGGAGACTGAGATCTGAAAACCATAGTTTGAAGCCAGCCCAGACAGAAAAGTCTATGAGAGGCTTATCTCTAGTTAACCAGCTAAAGCTAGAAGTAGAGCTGTGACTCAAGTGGCAGAGTGTCAGTCTTGAGCAAGAAGTCCAAGTGAGAGTCCAAGGCCCTGAGTTCAAGTCCAAGTACCAACACACACACACACACACACACACACACACACACACACACACACACACACATACACACACACAAAGTATTAGGGATTCTGATAAAACTCAACTATGTCTTTTAAAATTCTTTATAGTCTTTATTTTCATGATCTCATAATTGTAATAAAATGGACATGTTACCGCATACCCGCTGTGCCAGTGCTCTACCACTGAGCTGTAAGCCCAGGTCTATTATAAAAGTATTTTTCAGTGAGTACAGTTACTTCCAGGCAAATTACTCAGTGATGAAAAGTCTTTCTTGCCTGGTTCAGAGCTCCCAGGGAAAGTGTTTGTACCATTAGAAATGTATTTTTGAAATAATAGTTACTAAATAGCAGTATTTAATTACTGAGTGTTTGAAATCTTTTAGAAACTTTAAATTGTAGATGCACAGATGCATTTTATCTTGACATTTCTGTTTACTAAAGTCAACTAAAATCTCTGAACATTCCAATGGTTATCTTATTACAAGACAGTTAAATTAGAATGTCGTTAGCATAAAATTGTTAGTGCTTTAGTTAGCTGTCTGAAATCTACTGTGGTGGTTGGGTGGAAATGTGTGATCTGTAGGCTGTGCTTGCATACTGTACAAGGTATTGGAAAATATTCATACATTATTAGAGTGATAATAATTTTATTCTCATTTTATTTACAAAGTTTGACTCTAATGTTTTTTTATATTAATGAATTTTCTAAAATATAACAAACATACCCATCACTGTTTTCTGAAGAGAAGAAAAGTTTGTTAGAACAGTAGCCAAACAATTAATTTAGAAGATTTTTGGTGACATTTTTAACAGTTATCCAAACAAACTAATATTTCTTACCAATAATTGGCTAAAGAAAGTTCTCTGTTGAAAGTAGATTAATTATAGTCATTGCATTTTCACAAATGGTTGATCAGTTAATTGCATAGCATTAGTATGGAATTTTACATAAATAACTTGGAGAAAGAATTTATTCATTTAATAGTAGGAATTATGAGTTGACTGGCATAACTTTAGCATCACAAAAACCATGAAACAATTATTTTACACCTGCATCTTTTATGAATATGAAAATATGGGTGTAATTAATGAGTGTCTGGCAAGAAAAAAAAATGCTTTTAGTGGTTTTATTGCTTTGGTCTGCTATTGGCCTAGAATTGTTTTCATTATGCAAATTAAAAGTCTAAACATGGGCCTATGCTCATGTAAATAGTGTTTCCTGTATGTTGACAGTCAGACGCCATTGTAACTACATTATTTAGTAGTGTCTGATTTGAAAACCATTTTCTGGGACAGATCATTTATGAGAAACGTGTATCTTCCTGAATATTGAAGCAAACCCTAGCATGTGAGCGTCAGCGATTTCTAAATGCATCTGTGTTCCTGTGATGTCTTTTGATGTGCTGCTCCTTGGGATTTTAGACTGACCTCTTGTTTTTCTCCCAGAGAGATTCAATGTGTATTTGATGCCGTCTCCTAACCTAGCTGTCCATGGCGAATGTGCCTTGCAGATTACCTATGAGTATATCTGTCTTTGGGACATCCAGAATCCCAGAGTTAAACTCATCTCTTGGCCGCTAAGCGCCCTCCGGCGGTACGGACGAGATACCACGTGGTTCACTTTTGAGGCAGGAAGGTGAGTTTAATGGCTTTTTAATAACACCGCTCCCCAGCTCAGCGTAGTATTTACCTTCCTCCAGACTCTTTGGAAAACTCATAGGTTACGATTGCATAATACGAGAGGTATTGTAAAATATTCATACCTTCAACCGAGCTGTTCTTCCAAGTGAGGCTGCTGATGGCTCATGCATATGATTTGAATTTCCGTTGCACGTTTGCTATCACACTGGAAACTGAAGTCGATTTGGATGCGAGGACTAAAACAGACCATTTGCTAGGTGAAGCTGAACAAAGGCTAGAGTCTTGTTTTGGGGAAAGCTTCTGAATGTCATTCTCTGTTGCCTTTCCTCACTGGGGCTAGTAGGCTGGACCCTAGACCAGGAGAGCCACTGACATTGTTAGAACTGCAGATTATTGAGTTCCATCCATGTGCTGCTCAGAGTAGTGAATGACAATAATCACCGAAGAGGTTAATCCTAAAACATTCGCATCATCCCTGCACGTTAGGGCTCCCATGATTCCCTTTAGGAGTCAATGTGAGAAAAAGGCCTGGCGCCAGCTGGGTGGGTGGATCACCACCTATGAAGCAATTGCTGGGCGTAGTGTTTTTTTGCCTTGTCTTTGCTCCTGTGCCCTCTGAGCTGAGGCCCTGTTACTTTTTAGAAAAACACTGATATATTTTAATGTAAGAGTTTCCAAATGACCTTCTGTATATGGCCTAGAATTACATTCAAGTTGAAACCAATCAACTTAGGACATTCAGAAGAAAAAGGTTGTTCAATGATATTAATTGGATGCATTAATTGGATGTTATTTGTCAAATATTATTTCCTGAAGGAAACTGGTATTTGATTGTAAAGGGAGTAAAACAGAAGTTCTGTCCACTGCCCATGACTCTAACTCATGACAGTGGATGACAGTAACACACTGTTCAATTAAGCTGTTTACTCTCTTTTAAATGCAGCAGAATTATTTAAATTCCATTTTTCAGAAATAAGAGCCATTTCATATTCTTAGAATTATCCTTGAAAGTTTTAAATTTCTTCTTTCCTGTATATGTCTTCTCTGGTATATTTTATTTCTTTTTTATATTCTTTTTTATTGTCAAAGTGATGTACAGAGGGGTTACATTTACAAAAGTAAGGTAATAAGTACATTTCTTGTCAAACTTGTTACCCCTTCCCTCATTTTTTCTCCTGCTTTCCCTCCCTCCATCTTCCCCATTCCATTTTATTTCTTGATGAATCCCCCAGACAATCAAAAGAAAAAAATCCATCATACATTAAGAAAATAAATGTTAATGTTCAGAGCAATACCCTTCTTGTCAGAACTACATATTTATTATCCTTTGGGATTATTCCTATAGAAAATTAAGGATTTGCTTGGTCAGATTCATATATTTCCCCTTTATATCTCAGAGGTTATCATTATTAATTCATTAATTATAATCACTGAAGTCTAGACATTGAAAATGTCTTACAGTAGAACTAGACTTTTCCATTGCTCATATACTTCATATCATTCTCCATCCTTATTCTCTGTTGATGTGTTTGATTCTGGATTAGTCCAAAAGTTCAAATACAACTATTCAAGCATTAGTTTTCTCCCCATGGTGTGAGATTTTCTCTCTGTGGGAAATTGTAATAGGAAAAGAACATGACTTTATTATTTTAAGAGCATGGTTTTTGGTGGCAACATTTGAGGGCCAAAATCTAAGTAAATGTCTACTTGAAACATTTCTTTTTGACATTATCTCATTGATTTTCAAGGTATATATAGAATGAATATTAATTTTTGATGTAAAAGTTTAATTCACATTGAAATCTAATAGCATTGCCCAAGATCTATGAGATTCCTTAAAAGTTTTTTTTATGTTTTCTCTTACACGAGTGTTAAAGGAAACCACAGAGATATGTAAGCAGATATATTTAAGTCTGTGTGTGCATAGTGTGTGTGTGTGAGTGTGTGTGTGTGTGTGTGTGTGTGGTTATATGTATGTTGGAATTAAGTTCATATGTTTTAAAGGATGGAGAGGCTGGTACGCATATGGGTTAGCACTGAAATAGTTCAAGACAAAGGATTGTTGAGTAAGAAGTACAGACATATTGGGGACATAAAGTTCAGAATCACTTTAATGGTCGTTGACCAAAAGCCATAAAATTATGACTTAGAAAGTGAAAACCGTTCTTTCCATGATTTTAATGGCCCCCTTATGGTCTTGCCTTTGGGGAATTTCATCCAGCAGTTGAGTGGTTATAATACCTATAAACGCTGACCACTCAATGAGGGGCCTCCAACAGCTAGGAGCATAGAATACTTCTTGATCTTGAACAGCAGTTTTATTAACTGATCTGCTTTACAGGGCTGATAAAGCATGGATTTTGAATGATCAAAGAGAAGAATATGGGGATTATGTTCTTAGGATGTTAACTCATTTCTCAAGAAGCACAAGAGATATAAGGAGCACTGGTTCATGAGTCAGAGAGACCCAGGTGCTCATCTCTAATTTTTATTAGCTCATGACCTTGGACAAAAGGATTGAGTTCAGGTGTCGGTCCATCTAATAGCTTCCACCCAGGGCTGTAGTAGTGAAAATAATGATTTGTGTAGATGACTTACAAGGGAGCTGTGCTCCTCCTGAGTGTATTTGACATTCTATTATGATTATTTTTTGAGCCGGACCTGTTTTGCAGGAAACCAAAAGCATTAAATGCAGACAGGGCAATATTACTACTTTATGTTTGGTCTGAAACTCAAATAAAGATGAACTTTTATAGTTACTACCAAGATGCTCAGGATAATAAGATCATTTGTGTTCCTTTGGGCATGAAGGTTTCACATCTGCCTGCTTTTATTAGTGAAGATAATTTTTCCTTTGCTATTTTGGGGTATGTTCAAAACAAGTCAGCTTCACATTAACTGAGATAATGTTCTCTCTCCCCTTAGGAAGTGAGCAGGAGTGAAACTAGGTACCAGGTACCCAGTGTTCACATATCCAACATGAATCTGCCAAACTTTAAAAGTGTGTTTCTATAGGACACAGGGCTTTTTCTTTCCAAAAAACTTGGGCAAAGATCTGTTCACAGTGGGCTGATTCTTGCTCAGTGGCATCAACGACACCAACAGTGGTGCACATGTAAAAAATAAGACTGGGGATTGAGCTGGGAAATAGAAGTACAATTCCGCCACATACTGGCTAAGGGAATTTCATACACGTAAAGTAGTACCAGTGTCTCATTTATCCTCAAGATTGCTATGGAGAGTAAAGGCACGGGTGAAAATATGTGGGGACCCAATGGGTAGTAGGCTCAAGCCAAACTGCTACAGGAAAGAAACTCACTGGCTGGCCAGACTTAAAGTCCAGAGGGGAGAAAATGGAAGGCTTCAGGCTTGGCTTGATTCAGCCTCACAATGATGGATCGAGGTTTCAGTTGTGAGTTCTGTTTCTTGGATGATGTCTTTATTCTGGCTCCAGATAGTGACTTCCAGGAGCTTTGGGATCTCCCCACACTATCAGCCAATAGAAGATAAAAGAGTAGCCAGTCACTACTGCCTTCAATATTACATTTGAGCACTGTACTGTATGCTTTGCCCAAAGTCCACAGGACACAAGTACAATGGGGAAGTTCTCCCAGAGGGTAGAGTAGGCTTTACTTCTATCAGAAGGGGAATGTATTTGAGGTTTTCAAGAACTAGCCAAGTATGTCCAATGTAGCATTTATTTGCTTAAAGCAAATAAATCCTACTTTCCCCTATTTTGTCAGTATTGAGATTTGAACTCAAAGCCTTGTGCTTGGTAGGCAGGTGTGTTACAACTTGAGCCATGACCTGACTCTTTCGGTGCTTTGGTCAGTTTTCTAATAGCATCTCATGGTCATGTCTGGACTGGCTTGGAGCATGGTCCCCAGGTTTACAAGTTGGGATGACAAGTTTACACCCCCTTGCCCAGGGTATTTTTTTATTGACTGAGAGAAGGTCTTGTGGTCTTTTTGGCCTGGACTGGCCTCCAACTGTGATCCTTCCAATCCATCTTTTCCTCCTGAGTGGTTAGAATTAAGTGATGAGCCTCCGTGCCCGGCTGCAATTCCACTGGTAGTGATGCTAATCTTACTAAATAGTGGAGCCTCAGTCTATGAATCACCCTTTTCCACTCTTTAATTAATTAATTAAAATTTTGAGACAGGATCTGCTGCATGGCTCCAGCGTGCCCTAGAACTCCAGGGATTAAAGCATACATCTCAATACCTGATTCAAATGCTCGCTATAAACTTCTAAGAAGGATACCTTCTACTGGAGGTCAGCCTTATTATTAATTAATATCTGCAGATCTAATAAAGAGAACGCATACTGATATTCCCAGAGCTTCCTAAAGCCATTAATACTTCTGATCTTAGCAGAATTATTTAACCCTTCATAGAAGCTGTCTCAATATGTATGAAAAAGGTCTTCATCAGTAAGCCCCAGACTTGCAAATATCTGAGTGATTTGAATATGTCTTCCAAGCTGTGCACTAGAATACATATATTCTTGAGTTTAATGGGAGGACTCTCCTATTTGTTCTTTCCTTTTGGAGTATAAAGCCAGGAGGACCCATCTCTCTTGGGATCTGGTAGACCATGAATCATTTGGTCTTAACACTATTTCTCCTGTCTCTCTTCAGAATGAGCAAATCTGACTGTTACTACATTTTCCATAAAAAATTCAGTTAATTTCTAAAATTTGTGGCCAAGTGCAGTTGCACAATTTATTGCTTCCGGAGCTAAATAACTACTAGCGTTCTGAAAGCCACAAAATGCTTTTTTTTTTTTTTTTTTTTTGGTCATTTGTGTGGCTTGAACTCAGGGCCTGGGTGCTGTCCCATGAGCCTCTTTGTAGCTAAGGCTAGCATTCTATCACTTGAGCCACAGCACCACTTCAGTTTTTGAGAGGTTAATTGAAGATGAGTGTCATGGAGACTTTCCTGCCTGGGCTGGCTTTGAACCACAATCCTCAGACCTCAGCCTCCTGAGTAGCTAG